CCCCAAAACCCCAAAACCCCAAAACCCCAAAACCCCAAAACCCCTTTGGACTTTTTATGTATAGAATAATTCACCACTTTTAGTAATAATGAAACTCTTAGTTATCTGAATCATCATCTGATTTATAGCGCAAACCTGAGGTATAAGCCTTGAAGGCTTTTCCTGTTTTTTCAGTACCTTTTCTCATTGCAGCAAGCTCTTTGTTGGCATTTGCAAACCATTTGTGTTCGAGGATTTTCATTATTTTTATTCTTTCGTCAGGCGATTTTTCTAGGCAGCTTTTGATCAAGCTAATTGCTTCTTTGGAGACTCCTTTCATATGATCACCATACAGATCTGGGTCTTTATAAACGGTGTTGTGAGCAGTGAGTTTGTCATCATCGTCATCAAATGGAAGACATCCGCTTAGGATTAGGAAGACGATTATTCCAAAACTCCAGATGTCAACAGATTTATTATATTGCAGTCCTTGAAGAATCTCAGGAGCGGCATAACTTAGGGTTCCAAATGGCTCTTTGCTTGTTTCTTTTGGGCCTACAATTTTGCTAAGACCAAAATCTGTGATTTTAATTTCAGGTGACTCGGTGTCATCGCTAACGATGATGTTCTCTGGTTTCAGATCTCTATGTGCTACACCGTATGAATGGAGATAAAAGATAGCAGTAGCTATTTGATGAGCAAAGTCACAAGCAAGATCTTCTGGAATAGTAAAATCTCTTCTTTGAAGATAATCAAATAAGTCACCTCCTTTCATATATTCCATTACTAGATAAATATCTGTCTCATTTTCGAAAATATCAAGAAGCCTAATAATACTAGGATGTTGACACACTTTGAGGATCTCTATTTCATTTCTTTGCAGCTCTAAGTCTTCTGGAGACATCTGAGTTTTTGATACCATTTTAATAGCGACTTCTTTACCAGTTTTCTTATGTGTAGCAAGCTTCACTATTCCAAACTTTCCCTTTCCGAGTACTTTCTTGGACACATCATAGTAATCTGCTACTGACCTATATCCTGCTGCAGCTCTTAATGCTTTGATCCAGTCATTTCTTTCATCATCATTGAGGAAGTAATATAATCTATACTTCTGAGGGAAGACTAGTTTAATAGGATAAAGAGTGAGATTTTTACCACTTCCGTCACTCATTTTCTCATCTTTTTCTTCGGATATATAAACTCCAAGCATTGAGTGCATGGTTTTATGGGTCTTAGATTCCTCGTTCTTGTAGGAGTACATCTCAGTGCCAATGATCTTGTAGAAGTACTTCTTGATGCGAGACTTATCCTTGGTCTTTCTGTACATATAACCGCTCATAGCTTCTTGGCCTTGATTTTCTTCTCATTCAAAACAGTATTCTTTGCCTTCTTCTACATCATTTCTTCCGCAGACGCATATCTTAGAGACTGTTTCTCCTTTGGAAAAATATGAGGTTGGAGACATTATTTCAGCTGTGAAAATGCCTTCAGTCTCTGCTGCTTTAGCGTCTATGCTGAGCTTAGTACAGTTCTTCATCCGAATAGCTCTAGAGTTGATATCCTTTTCCTTGTCTTCCTCCTTGATAGTTGCTTGTCTCATGAGCTTTTCTTTGCGATGAGCTTTTGGATTTTTCAGTTTTGTGGCATTTTTCTTTATGTTCTCTTCTAGCTCTTCTTTTGTCAATTTTGCCGGATCTTTGGGAGTAGCCACGCCTGGGCTTTTTATCTTCTTGGCAGCATTCCAAAGGAAGGACTTAGCCTTTGTCTCTCCTGCAGAAGGTGAAGTAGCTGTGAAGGTTTTGGACGTTGGGTTAGCAATGGGAGAGCTAGTCATGAGACTAGGAGGACTAGTACTCTTGCTATTCATATCTTTTCTGTAGTCTTTTAGATATTTGTAGAAATTATCAGTGCAGGGAATGTTCTGCTTTAAAGATTTCAGAACACATAATATTGTTTCTGAGGATTTGCTGGTATTGAAATCTTTGAATTCTTCATAATTCAGTTTATCTTTGTCCTTGAACATTACTTCAATGATTTTTCCTATTTCCTTTTGATTCTCTATTCTATCATTGAAGTCATGATTCCTAGGGCTTTGAGACTTTCTCCGAGCATATTTCTCTTCTTCTTGATCATCTTCGTTTTTGGTATGAATGTCTGCATAAGAAAGAACGAGGGATACATCATCTTCAGTGATAAATCCATCTTTATCAAAATCGTAGAACTCAAAAGCAAGCTTCATGTTTGTTTCAAAGTCTGAGCAGTATACGCGGAAGAACCCAACCAAGAACTCTTTGAGTTCAATCAATCCTGAACCATCTGTATCGAGGATAGCAAAAATTCTATCACCATAGACTCCAGGAAGGTCTCAGTACTGTAACAAATTTATTTTTTCAATTCCTTTATCAGGATCCTCAGATCTGCTTGCAAGATCCTTGTAGATATCCTTGAAGTACGGAAGAACTATAGGGAACGTTAGAATGGTTTTGAAGGGTACATACCTATCTTCTTCTGAAAATGGTCTGTTTCCACAAGGGAGTCGTTCAACATCTCAAGTCTACTTTTCATCTTTTGACAATATGCTGGAATTAATTTATTAAGATTCCACTTATTCTATTTAAATAAATTTTTAGGGGTTTTGGGGTTTTGGGGTTTTGGGGTTTTGGGGTTTTGGGGTTTTGGGGTTTTGGGG